GCTTCACTTTTGCTAAAGCAGCCTTGGCAAGGGCTGGCCAGAATGGGGCTCCTGTTCTCTCCCCATTGAAGGTGGCCAGAGCCCCCCGCCCCAGGAGGATAGACCTGACAACCATCCAGCAGCTGGTATTGCAATTAGAAAACCCAAGCCAGGAAGAACTGAGACATGGCTGGATCCACTCCCAAGCCGACCATGCCTGGTGTGCTTTCCACAGAGTCTGGAAACACAAGTAGCTCTCCACCCCCGGGCACAGGGGCACTAAGGCTGCCAGAGACAAGAGAGGGCAGGAGAGTTGGGCCTGTACCTGCCCCTGGTTTTCAAAAAACGAAAACCAAAAACAACAAAAGACACCCATATGGATGGATAGTCAGGTGCTTTAACCAAACCAGGCTCCCACGGAGAGAAGCAAGTTAATGGATGGAGAGAGAAAACGACCAGAAACGTCTAATACCAGCCTCTCCCCATCCATGCCCCTCCTGTTCAATGGAGGAGAAGCCCCTCACCTCTTCCCAGACACAGGGGGGCATAACTGCAGAGTATGCCACAAAACATCTGCTAACAAACAAAAACCACTTTCTCCAGGAAATGTTAAACCATTTGGGCAAAGATGGACTTGAGATTCTATTCTAGGGTTTAAAGAAGAGGCACCCAATACTTAAAATAATTTGAACACTCCAAAGGCCTTTCTAGCCTTTGAATTCGTTTCTGTACAGTATTCCTTTCTTCCACTGCATGATTAAGGTTTTGATTTGTATATAAAACAAAGTCCCAGAGAGTTCAAAGAGGACTGGTCATAAAAATAAAAACCAAGAGGCATCAATATTAATAAAGCTGAACGAAAGAGATATTGAATAACCTTTGTGAAATTAGAAACAATGACTAATTCAACCCAAACAACTAGGTCATGCTCAGATTCCAGTAATTCTAAAACTTAGATATAATAAGGCAAGAATTTTGCTTTGCTTCAGTGGTTAAAATGAAGGACCCATTCAAGGGCAAGACCAGTAACAGGCACAACAGGGGAGCCAGAGGAACATTCGGGAGGGGAAAGGGGAGTTAGGAAGCAGAACAAAGCAATGTTGTTGTTACAGTACTACCTGGGCATTTGACGGAGTATGTTAATAACAAAGAAACAAAGATACTTTTCACAAAAGATCAAACTACCACCCAGCAAACATCTGAGAGACTCTTACAGAGGCTGCAAAGCCTCAGGCATGTAGCAAGAAGAACACTTGCTCAGGGGAAGCCAAGTGAACAATGTAATCAGAGAGCTATTATGACATACACAAACACGAACAGAACAAGTCAAAATATGCTGAGTGTTGTCCGAGAGGTATGCACTGCGTGCAGGAAACTGAAGAGGGACAGAAGACATCTGGCAGGAGATACGGAAAGGCATCGAGTTACTGAGTGGAATGAAAGGCACCAATGTTCAAGAAAACCGTGTGACTAATTCTGTCTACCGATTTGGGTTGCTTCCTCATTATTCTTAAAGATGACCTTCAATAACGTGGAGAGTAGGATAGTCAGTGAAAACTCACATTCAAAGCAAGTTTGACTCACTAAGACATACTCCTGCAATCTAAAAATATAACATTCGCTCACCTGCTTCAATGCAACATTGGAGCACTAGAATCTTGCTGCAGGCCTATGTTCTAGCTGCCACGTCTTAATACACCACACATCGTTCAACTCAGGAGTATTGACTTTTCAGTTTAGATGTCATATTGGTAAGACCAAACAAAAGCATAAATACATATCCCACAAGAAACTCGCTCTAGGACAAGAACACAGGACCAAGTAACAAGAAAGAAAAGAGGAAAAGGAAGAGAATTCTGGCTGTCACATGCAGGCATTAGGTCTGCAAAAAACAGATACCTGCAGAAAGCAGGTAAAGGCTTTCACAGTGACACTGACGCTTCCTCATAGGAGGACACCTTGAAGTTTCAAAAGAATCTCCTGTCACTCAACCCATTCGTCTTAAATAAAACAAATAGGTAATCTCTCTAACAACGTGACCAGATCTTTTTTACAAGAACTTTTAAAACTGGTGGGTGCATGCTGAGCATTTACCAAAACATTACATTTCTTGTGTAAACCAAAATAAGAAAAGAAAAATCCAACATTACTCTCTCTTTGGCCAACTACATTAGTGAAGCTCAGCCCACAAAACCCAATAGGACAGGGTCAAAACAGGCTTTTCACATAAAAAAAAAATTTAAAAAGACATTAGGGCGACTTTACCTTTCTTCTGTATAAAATCAAAGGAGACAGTAATTTCCTATTTATTTTTACTTGAATGTCCCAAAGTAAAAAAAAAAAAATTTAAAATCCAACATTTTCACCATTGCATATAGTTACTATAGCTTACAGGACAACCTGCTACTTTAATAAAACATAAAACGAAGTAACCAATACTTTAAGTGCTCCTCAAAAGCAAAAGACTTCTTAAAAAGACAAAAGGCTA